ATTGATGAAAACTTATAAGTAAAGAGAATTGGTGAACGATAGATGTAGATGATGAATGAAAACGGAGTTTTTTAATACGATATTTATAGAGAAAATCATCAAAAAAGATAATTTATCAAAACAGAGTTTGAAGACCACAAAACCACCTTGGCGCCAGCCCTGGCTCATTGGCGCCAGGACCAGTGGCTAGCGCCAGGCGCCAATGGCTGGCGTCTGGCGCCAATCCTGGTTCCAGGCGCCAAGGCCTGGGGTTGGACGCCAAATTGGATTTCAACGCGTTTTCGAAAATCTGATAAATTTCCCGTACTGGAAGATAAAATAATATAATTTCAGTCGAAAATGCTATTTGATCTAATTAAAACTCTGAAGAGTCCTAATTGAATTAAGAATGATAAAACCTTCTAGAATGTTCTAGAAGACCAAAACCATTCCTAATTGCATTAGGAATGATAAATCATATTAGGCCCTCCCCTAGATCATTGGGCCGTACTTAAAGCTCAAACCGGGCCCAGTTTAGTAAGTTGGCCATAACTTCCTCAATATTCATCGGAATTGGGCTTATAATATATCGTTGGAAAGGTCTTTGCAAGCCCCATCCAACTACACCACTATTGGACCCATATCATGGACCAAACAAACTGGATTGGCTGTTTTCTTAAAATAAAGTTTTCAAAAACAGAGAGAAGAGAAAAGAAAAGAAACTTTCCGCAACACCAGACCTTTCCACACTTTCGTTTCATTCGATTATGATTCGACGTGAAAGGTACTCATCACCGGATTTGGTTTTGGGGAGACACAAATGGGTGTCTACAATATGATATTTGGCAAGATAGTGCAGTTGACACTAATAGTGTAATAGTATATAAATACCATAGTGTATGAATTATCCTAAAAGTGGTATAGATATCTGAATTATTATAATAGATGGCATATGATGTAAGAAAAAATTATGATGGTACCAATGAGAAGTGTGTTCGGATATCATAGTAAAATAGCATGCGAAATGTAAGTTAAAGGAATTTTATGATACCGGTACATAATGGAATCGATGAATAATATGCATATGCATAATAGAATGGACTAATAAGTAAGGGATCTGAAATATATGTACATTTTGATGTCGACATAATGATAATGATCATAAGTTTATCATGGACCCGAAGTCCAATGAAATATGGATTTTTAAATCTACACTGTACAGTGTCTTGCATCATTTTGAGTCTTATATTCATGTGCATGTGAGTCATATGTTAATGGTTTATTGCATATGTAGGAAGTTAGATGCTATACTCATTGTATAATTTGTTTAATATGTATGTTATCATGTTTTATATATCTCATATTGCATGGATTAATTTCTTACAATAATTGTGGTATATGTGAATGTCTGTTCAAAATATATATAGTATGGCATATTTGTAACTTTGAAGGAAAATTACAAAGAAATATTTATATTCCAATGTTCTTATAGTTGTGATGAAATTATTGAAAATGTCGATTTAATAACATGTTATGAATCATGTAAAAGGAGTTCCCGAAGAACTTATATACGACGTATTAAATGCCTAACCCTACAAATTTTTATGTCTTGAATATTGCAATTATTATCAAACTCTTGAAAAGTCTATGTGACTACATTATTGACATCTCAACCTGAAGTTTGAGCATATGAGAGTTAGTAAGATTTATTATTTGTATTTACAAGAGAGATATCCTGTCAATCATGAAACATCTAAATAATATCAATGGAATACTTATGCGCGAGAATGTTTTCTCGTGGTCCAGAAGAACCATGATTAGCGTACATAATTACATATGTTATATTATAATTCATATGAGATTGAAGAATGACATTAATGATATCAAATTTTGTCATCAAATTATTATTAATGAATGTTAAATCAAATAATGATCACCAATATTTATTATTAACGACTTCTAGAAGAAGTCATAACCGCATGAGTTTAACCTTTTTAATCAACTATTAAATAGAGACTTGGAATGGTGATATTAGAGATAAACACATATATGGTGAAATGAAGACACTTCACATGTTCACGTGAAGATTTGAAGAATTGAAGATGCAACTTCAGCTTAGGAGAGTCGAAGATCAACAAGTGATATTTTACCAACTTAATAGAAGATATCCAACATATTGGATTCATTGTTGCGACACTAGAAGATCTCAAGTTATGTATTCATCAGGGGGAGAAAATACGCGCTGCACTCTTTTTCCCTTGACCATGGTTTTGTCCCAAATTGGGTTTTCCTGGTAAGGTTTTTAATGAGGCAGCATCTCGAGCATATTACGAAGAATGATATACTCTTTTTCCTTCATTAGGTTTTTATCCCACAGGGTTTTTCCTAATAAGGTTTTCACGAGGCACAATCTTCGATAATGGACATCCAATGGGGAGTATTATGAAATATTTGTGGATATCCATTATCCTCCTTTGTATCATTCCGGAACAATCTACATCTAGGGTTTATATTCTTATCCATTCAAACTCTAACGTATTGTATTTATATATACCCCATTATATAGAATAGAAATACACTGATATATTCTCTATCAATCTCTCTTATATTTCTCTCTATTTTATAACAAATTCTTAATTTTTTAGACTTAATAAGTAAATTTTTTACACCTTTATCAATATACTATTTCCTAACCAAAATCAGATTTTGTACTTTTAAGAAACGAAAAAATTAAGTAAAATATTCAAGTAAATCCCAGAAAATATTTTTTAGTTCATTTTAGTTGGGAAACTGAAAAAAATATCTTAAAATGGCTTTAAAATTTTGATTTGATAGATGGTAAATGAAGAGTATAACTTTAGAGAACCCATTGTACATATTGATGTCGTCTTCACCGAGCCCTAGGTTGAAAATGATTTTCATTTTTTTTATTTAAATTATTAGTGGTGGATTCAATTGTTTTGGTAAGTATTAGTACAAACGCTAGTAAATTGCAATTATGACTTGATTAAATAAAAAATAATGTTTTTAAATAAAATTAAAGCCAAGGAGAGATAGTTATGACGTTCCACTATGCCCAACAAATCTTTTTTTTTTTTTTTGTTTTTTTTTTACGGTTTTTTTTAAAAAAATGTATTTTATTAATCACTATGTGTTTTATGTAAAGCCATTATTAATAACAATGTAAGAGGTATTATGGGTTAGTAAAAAAAAATTCATTTTCAAAATAAAAGGAAATAAAAGATGATCTCCATAACGTTTGTATGAATATTTTGGTTTTAATAATAACAATTTTTTTTAAAATTACCTCATAATGTTTAGTTACATGTACTTACTTTAATATTTGGTAACAAACATCAAATTTTTAATGTGATACAATTGTACAAAAGTAACAACCATTGACATTATCTTGATACAAAGTACAAACGTTAATTGTTCCTTTTTCAATAAGGGTCAACATGGACAATTTAATTGTAAATTATGGACCCATACATACATTGTAAATACGGAATATGCCAATTGATGAACCTCGTGGAACACTTAAAAAAAATGAAGAACATTGTCATGTATAGGGTAGTACATGAATCCATTTCACACTCCTCCATACCTTTTCCCTCTAAGATTGGTCTGACCACCCTGAAGCTATCGTCTGATTTCATTTTATAAACCACAATTTAGTGTTACTCCCGTGTCGTGCCATCTTGGTAGCAAGTGGAATTTATATTTGCTAAACAATTTTAATTCCCCAAGTGGTGAATAAATACTTGGAAAAATTAGAATATAACACCCAAAAATTGTCACGATTTTAATAATAACACCACAAAAAAAAAAACTTAGATTATAACACCACCAAAAAACCAAAAATTCTGATTTCAACACCACTTAATTTTTTCATCCAAAAAACCGTTAGTGGGTCCCACATTGTACACGTGTCAATTGTGCATTGGATTAAAATAAATAAAAAAGAAAAAAAAAGAAAATTAAAAAAAAAGGAAAACCCTTAAAATACCCAGCCACCATTGGCGCCGCCATTCCTACCGCCGTTCTCCAACTCAGCCTCCACCGCCGTCACCCAATCCTAACCGACCACCCTCGACCCACAAAACCAGCCAGCCGACCACCCCTTGACTGCCGAAATCAGCCCAAACGTACCCACGAAAGAACCCGAACCCCGATTTGGTTCAAGGTGAGGGTGAGAGGAGTAGGGCGGTTAGTGGGTTTGGGTATGGGTGGGTCGGGGTTTCGACAGTTTGGCGACGACTTTTGGTTGGGTTTGGTAGAGGAGTACGGTGGCTGGCTGGTTAGGGTTGGATTTGGGTGGTTTGGCGATGGATTCGGGTCGGGGAGACGATAATGGGGGCTGGGCTGGTTTGGGTTGGGGTCTGGGTGGTTTGGCGACGACGGGGAGACGATGATGGGGCCTGGGCTGGTTTGGGTTGGGTCTGGGTGGTTCGGCGACGGCGGTGAGACGATGATGGGGGCTGGCTGGTTTGGGGTCTGGAAGGTTCGGCGACGTCTGGGTGACAGTGATAGGGGTTGGGTTAGGGTGCCGACCATGGTAGGGTTGAGTTAGGGGCTGGGTTGGGGTGCCGGCCATGGGCGCCGGTGGTGGCTGGGTTAGGATTATAGGGTTTTTCTTTTTTTTTTTTTTTTTTCTTTTGAATTTTTTATCCAATAGTTGATTGACACGTGTACTGTGTGGAGGCCCACTTAACGGTTTTTTTGGATGGCAAAGTTAAGTGGTTGTGAAAGCAAATTTTTGGTTTTTTTTGTGGTGTTATAAAAAAAATTTATTTTTTTGTGGTGTTATTATCAAAATTGTGACAATTTTTAGGTGTTATTTTCTAATTTTCCCTAAATTCTTTCATATGAATAATTATAGAAAAAAAAATTAATTCTTAATTTTATAGACTTAATTAGTAAATTTTGTACACTTTTATCAATATACTATTTCCTAACCAAAATCAGTTTGTGTACTTTTGAGAAAAGAAAAAATTACAAGAAAATAATTTTTAATTCATTACAAGAAATAAATTTTTAATTCATTTTAGTTGGGAAACTAAAAAATATCTTAAAAAGACTTTAAAATTTTGATTTGATAGATGGTAAAGGGAGAGTATAACTTTAGAGAACCCAATTGTACCTAGTGCTGACGTCTTCACGGAGCCCTAGGATGAAAATGAATTTCATTTTTTGTTATTTAAATTATTAGTGGTGGATTCACTTGTTTTGGTAAGTATTAGTACAAATGCTAGTAAATGGCAATAATTACTTGAAATTAAAAAAAAAATTAATTAAAATTAAAACCAAGGAGAGATAATTATGACCATCCCCATCAATTCTTCTTTGTCAGAACAAAAAAAAAAAAAAAAAAAAATTGTTCCTTCTAGTTAAATTAAATTGTATATCACTTTGTCTCGCATATCATAACCAGTAATATCTTGAAAATCCAATGAAATTAAAAGTTTAATTTGTTTTGTTACGGCCTACAGTTCACTAGAAAAGGAAATAGTTACCCCGCCACATGATAATGTAGGGGTAGCTGATGATGCTACAAAGGCTATAGGGGATGCAAAAGTAGAGGAAGTATTAAACCAGCAAAGTTTTACGGAAAATGCACAAAGTATTAATGTAGGAGGGTCAGGGAACAAAAGTGTAAGTCATGAAAGTGGAACAGGGCAAGTTTCGCAAGCAATATCATCAACACAAGATGTAGACAGCACCATCGGTGACTCGTCTTACAAGGTTTACTCACAAACTTTTTTGTTTAAGTACTTGTCTTTTAGGGATTTTGTGATGACTATAAAAATCTGGATATATAATTTATTTTCGTATATTGAAATGAATTTTAAAGTTAATTAAGTACTTTGGGTTTTATTAATGGGTAACTGCTTAGAAACAAATTATCTATCAATTCATTACATATTGAACAAGGTAATTGGTTCTGTTGTGGTATAGGTTGTTCCTAAATCAATTGAAATGCCATTAAGTGGAGTAGGCTAGATTGATGGTGAAGGGAAGGGTGTTGGGGAAGGGAAAGAGAAGGGTATGGAGACAGAGAAGGGTATTGTGGAAGGGATAGAGACGGGTGTTGAGGAAGGGAAAGAGAAGGTTATGGAGAAAAAAAAGGGTATTGTGGAAGGAATTGGGGATGACACTGGTGGTCCAATGGAATATGAAGCCAGTGGAGGTGGGGTGGCAAGAGGTTCACAGCCAATTGACCCACCAAAGGATGATGAGCCCTCCCAAGAAATGGTTATGTCCATGCAGGTATGGTAATTTTGCTTTAGATTAATGGTTATTAAATTGTATTCTGTAACAATTTGTTTAGTATCACATGTCTTTTGAGAATTATTTGCCTCATACAATAAATCAAAGGGGTTAAATGCAAATGATTGTTGTTGTATGTTGGATGCATCTGCTAAATATTCATTTTGTATGTAAATTAAAATATCATATTCCAACTATTACACAGGGTCATGACAACATTCCAAAAGCCAATGAGGAGGGGGGAGAAGAACGTCAAGCATCGCATAAGGTGGAAGATGCACAACAGGATAATGTGCCCTTCCAAAGAGTTGGTATGGCCATGTAGGAATGGTCTTTATCTTTACAATAATAATTTTAAAAATGTTATGTTGGATTTTTAAAAGCAATAAAAGAATATTATATGTTGTGGATGTCTATTGTAAATATTATTTTTTTTATGTAAATTAAAACTTTGAACCTTTTTTCATATTCAAACTAATACAGGTTCATGACAACATTCCTACAACCAATAAGAGGGGAGAGCAACGTCAGCCAAATAAAGACATGCCAGATGGGATGGCAGGAGGTGCAACGGGAGGTGATCCAGAGAAGGAAGATGGTGCAGAAAAGGATGGTGATGTAGAGAAAGATGATGGTGCAGGAAAGGATGGTGCAAAGGATGGTGCCGAAGAGAAGGATGGTGGTGTAGGAAAGGATAATGCAACCCCCCAACCAACTGTTATGACCATGCGAGTATGGCCTTTTAGCTATACATTAATAGTTTTAAACTTTTATTCTGCCATGATTTCTTTGTTTTGACATTTTATTGCAACGTATAATAATACTAAATGATTTGGAGAAAATGTTGGTTGCTGTATTTGGATGTCTTTTCTAAAGACTAAATAGTGATATGGATATGTTAATTTGTGTGCTAATTGCTGAAATATTTTTGTAGCCTGAGCATGTTGGGGGCGACACAAATGAAAGCGCAACAGCTACATTAGTTGTTGATCTGACTGGAGAGAAGGAAATGGCCATGAACAAGCAACCAGTTGGTGCAAGTCATGAAGGGAGGAAAAATAAACGACCTCAGGTAGTAAAATGCTTATTGTCATAATAATTAGTGGTTTGTTTAGTAACGAGTATATTGTAAATAATATCAGTCACATTATACAAGAATTCTACACTGTAAGCGGTGTGACTTTATTTGATAATAGTAAGTTCTTTAGTAACACAATCATCTGTTTGTTAACATAGTAGATTTTTTAGTAGCAGAATCATTTGTTTAGTAACATAGTAGCGAGCAAGATTAATTGTGTGTAATGTTGGGATCTCATGTTGCATTTATTAAGCTCTGAGCAAAATTTCATTCATTTGTTACACAAGAAATTGTTTCCCTACATGTTGTTCCCTTTGAAAAATCTTGTTCGTCGCAGATTGATGATGATGGTGTCACTCATGAAGGGAGGAAAAATAAACGACCTCAGGTAGTAAAATGCTTATTGTCAAAATAATTATTCTTTTATTTAGTAACGATAATGTTGTAAATGATATCATTCACATTATACAAGAATTCTACACTGTAAGAGGTGTGATTTTAGTTGATAATAGTAACCTTTTTAGTAACAGAGTAATTTGTTTAGTAACATAGTAGAGAGCAAGATAAAATGTGTGTGTCATAGTAGACAGCAAGATTAATTGTGTGTAACGTTGGGATGACATGTTGCATTTATCAAGATCAGAGCAAAATTTCATTCATTTGTTACACAGGAAATTGTTTCCCCGCATGTTGTTCCCTTTCACAAATCTAGTTCGTCGCAGATTGATGATGATGTATCTGCAACAACTAATAAACAAATAAGGAAACCGGGCAGACCAAAGATGAAGCCTAAAACAGAAGTAAGGTTCCAAGCTCTACTATTAAAATGGTGTTCAATTAATGAACTAGTTAAAGCCCCGTCCAATACACGGGTATTATAAAATTATTTAACAAACTATAACATTAAGTTAACAATTATATATAAACAAAGAATTACATTTATAAACATAAAAAAATAGCTATATTGACATTATTTTTTGACAATGATGCATGTAAATTTCTAAGGCTATTGAGGCATGTAAATTTCTAAGGTTTAGGGTTTATTTAGAACCCATGCTATATACCCTATCATGTCCTTATTTTGTTGACGTAGTTTGACAGACATATTGGTTTATACAAGTTTAGTCAACTTTAACTTTAGTTTTCTATATGTAAAAATCAAATACATAAAAATGAGTGAGTCATAGGTTTTTATTATGATATATAAGTAAGGTCAAGAAAATAATGAAACATTAAATACTGCTATAAAAAAATATTAGCATGAGATTAATATAGAAGTAAGGCTTTCCCAAATTATAATATTACCATGAGAAGATTATAGAAATATTTGCATGAGAATGTTGTAGAAATCTTGGAGAAAATTACAAAAAATAATTAATACAAAAAATACATACATATAAGAAAATTTCATTAGGTGAATATTATAGGCTATAAATAATTTTCATGAATAATTGACAAAATAAAAAAAAGACAAAAAAAAAAGGAAAGAAAAAATGGAGGGAAATTATTTAAAGTGAATGACATGTGCCATCACTGGTTTTGCTGTTAGTATTAAGATATTGATTGATTTATGGAACCCGGATTGCGATAAATATACACATTACTTAATGATAGTACTTTATATTATATATTTTGTTTATTGTTTGGTAACGACCTGTTGTATTAATAGTAACTTATTAATAGTTGTGTGTAGTGTTAATGTTAACTGTGTTTGGATCCAACATGGTAATTGTTATGATAAATGAAATACATTGAGTAAACGTATTTGCTGAATCAAAGATGCTGAGTTGTTAGGGGGCTGCTGAAGCTGGGGAAGTACAAAAGAGGCCGCGTGGAAGACCGAAAGTGTCAGAGGAACCTAAGAACGGGAAATTTCAATTTACAGTTTCCATTACTTTTTTTATTTTGACATTGTGTAGTGATTAAGAAATAATTTTGATTTTTTTATTAATTTTTGTCTTACAGTATTTAATTGTACGGGGTTATCCCAAACATGTGCGAATTGTTATCAAATCCATGATTGAAACGCGGAAGAAGTTTGTGAAGAAACAATTTTCAGGACATTTCTCAAGATCAAAATGAAGCAATTTGACAGGGACTTTTTGTCATATTTATACAGTCGATGGGATCCACAAAGAAAAGTGTTACGGAATCAGAGACGACTATGAAATAACAATAAACGAGGGGATGGTGGGTTGGATCACTGGACTTCCATATGGACCTCTGACTTTGAGCATTCTTGAGTTGGATGTCACTGACAAAAAATTCCAAGACTTGAAGAGCAGTTATGATAATTCAGGGGGGATCTGCTTTGCAGTTGTCCACAACAAGTGCATGGATACATCTGTGGAGAACAAAGACTTTCTTAAACACTTTGTCCTTTGTGTTTTAGGTAATGTTTTATGCACTACAACAAGCAACAACATTAGCCCTTGCCTTTGTTAGCTGTTGAAAGACAAGTACATTAATGAAGCAAGGACGTACAACTGGTCCAAATACATACTTGATTGGATGGTCAAGTATAGAGGAAGTGATCCTGCCAAGGGATTTAAGGGATCTCATTTGGTTCTTGTGGTAGGTGTAGTTCTTTAATACAATTATATTTTAAATTTACCCTAATAGTGCTAACCTTTGTATTTTAAGTTCAAAATGACTTCTCTTCATGCAAACTAAAAATTGTTACTAACACTATGTCGCAGATTGCATACCTTGATCGTCTTAACATAGATGGTAGAGGGATGCTTTGGGACAAAAATGTACCAAGGGTAGGGGCTTGGGAACAAAGATGTGTTGATGCTGCTATTGCCGCTGATAAGGGAAAAGATGGAAAATTTGGTGCAGCTGAGGTATAACAGAACATAGTTTATTTGATTATGTACCATACAACAAATAATTTACCTAATTTTTAAGCAAACAATGAGATAAATCAACTATAGTAGGTGTGTTCATAAAAGTTAATACATCATGTCATAATTTTAGGTAGTTCGTGATGTTATTTATGGAAAAAACTATCCGATCGGGGAGTCATTCGGTCTCCAGTATGGCTTATAGATTTCAGTTCTGGTTCAAAATTTAGTGGCAGTGTAAGTTCTATAATCATACGTTAACATATGTATTGCATTTGATCCAAATTTACCATGCTTGACATGAAATCTGTCTTGCAGGAAGGTGAAATCGAAAAATTACGTGAGATGAGAGTGGAGAATATCATAAAAAGGCCACCAAGAAAAGGAAAGGCCAAAGAGGTGGAGAGTAAGAATGATGATGAGGTGATATCTCCATTTGGTAAATTATTTTTTATCTAGTTCATTGAGTTACTAAGTTAATTACTAACATTGTTTCGAACTACGAGTCAGGATCACAATAGTAAGAGAACGGGTACAGTGGTTGCTAATAAAAGAAGGTCGAAGAATGCAAGTACAAAAGAGGTGATAGTTGTGTTAATTACTAACATTGTTTGGTGTGGAATGATTATTGACTTATTGTTTCATTTGTTAGTTTAGTTAAATGTAGGTGTTTGTAGAATGAGTTCCTAATTAAAATACTAAATTGTATGCTTATTTGTATGCCTAGAAGGGAAAATCTATTAGAAGTAAGAAATCGAAGGATGATAGTAGTTCAAAGGTGGTGTTTTTTATAATTTCATGTTTTCCATGATTTTGGATTGAACCCAAACAATACATTATATGATCATGGATTATGGAATTAAATTATATTTAATTGACAGTGTTGTTACTTTAACAAACGTTTATCGGTGTAAATTCTTTAGGAGGGACAAGGACTGCCACAAAAGGGCATTTCATTTGGGAAGAAAAGATTAAAGGTAGCTTCATCTTCAAGAGATGAGCAGGTATTGTTTTTCTTAAAAGAGTAGCACGTATATCCATGTTTGATCTGGTAACTATTTTAATAGTACACATGATTAGATCTTCTTGGATTATGTTTTTCATGGTTACTAAGTTAATCACTGTTAACATAGAATTACATAGGTGTAGTTAATATAGAAATATGTTTCTCATTGTTCCCAATTTAATTATTATTAATATATTTATGAATGTGGCAGGACAATTTACAAAATAAATTTAATACTTGTAGTAAAAATTTCTAGTTCATCTACATTTATGTTTGTATAATTTGTTTATCTTGGTTACTAAATTAATAACAAGTAATATTTTTATCAATGTCGCAGGCCAAAAGACAAAAGAAACGAGACAAGTTGGGTAAGAAGAAAAAAAATCAGGAGAAATCTTCAGATCCTGAAGATGAGGATGAGGTGATCTATATATTTTAACAATGAATATTATAATATACTTGTAGTACACATGTGTAGCTAATCTATAATTATGTTTATCATGGTTATTAATTTAATCATAATTAATATAAATGTCAATGTGACAGTTAATCTAGAATTATTTTTATAATGGTTATTAAATTAATAACAACTATTATTTTTATCAATGTCGCAGGCCGAAAGACAAAAGAAAGGAGGCAAGTTAGGTAAGAAGAGAAGAAATGAGGAAGCATCTTCAGATCTTGAAGATGAGGATGAGGTGATTTTAACAAAATATTATGGAACTATATACTTCTACAATTAATATTAGAATATTACTTTAATATTGTACATAAGTACACTTAGAATATTTCATGTTAAATGTTGGAGGACAACACAAAGAAATTATCTGCCAAAATAGGTGATAAGAGGAAAAGATCCAAATCTAAATCAGACTCTGATGAGGTGTTATCCTGTCTGCAATTATGGTTTTTGCTCTGATGTGATTATTATTTAAATTGCTTATTCGTTGTACAAAATCTTTTCTAGGAAGAAAAATTGAAAGGCCCGAAAAAGACCAAACCTACAAAAAAAGGTGTTAAAGAAGGCTTCCAAGAAGAAAAAGTATGAAAGCGACGATACTGAAACAGACAAGGAAACCGGAGAGAAAGATGACGAGGATGAAAGCACTGACAGCGAGGGCTCCCAAAGAGAAGATGGACCTACGGAGGAAGATGATGATGAAGGGGGAGGGAAGTCTAAGGAGGATATCGAATCTGGTGGAGAAGATGAAACTGATAGTGACAATGGTCCTCCTGAGGAAGATGAACCTGATCAAGATCGACCTTCTGAGGATGATGGATCTGATGAGGAGGATGGTCCTCAAGACGAGGAGATTCTAGAAGAGTTACATTTTACACATTTGCTACATCCTAATATGCTACAAGTGTTTAGTCATAATTTTTTGTTGTTTGCATTTTTAGGAGGATGAGGTAGGACGTATAGCAAATCCTGATCATGACCTCGATCAACCTCAATCTAGAAAACCACCTAGTATGTCCCCAACCGCTAGAAGACTTGTTGAAAAAATACTGCAAAAAAAAGGCGATGAATCATAAGTTTCATTATCAAAGACAATATTACATGCAATGTTATAATTGACCATTAATTTGTCAATGAGTGAATTATATTTTTGATAAACTTTTTTTACTTGTAATAATAAGGTTGAGAAATTCAGTGATGTTTAAGTTTCAAACATTTTCTTTGACTCGCGGCATGATACACGATTCGTTTAAGAAGAACGGGTCAATATCTGAGCTTATTATGGAAGCCTTTGGGAAGATGTTGAATGAATTCACTGGTGAAGATCCAGAGAATGGAAGGCATGTTTACGTGATGCCAACAACGTACATGGTATTTACTTTCAAACTTGGTATCATATGTTGTTGAGAAGTAGGTAGCAATTAGTATATTATGCTAAACAAATTGTTTCCCATGTCCTTGCACGATGAGGCTAAAAAGAAACTAAGTGCCAAAGGCGATGTTGGGGACATTGTGAAGCGATGTGTGGAGGCCATTGCACAGGATACGACAGTTTGTGAAAGATTGGAAAAGCATAAAAGGGTAAGACAATCATGGTCGATTATTAATAATTAGGTTTTATTTTGGTTGTTTATTTTTCACATATATCTATTTGTGGTTATTAATAAAATTGAGTAGGGTACTAATCAAATATGAAACATGGTGATTTCATTTCATTAACTAATTAAATCAATTTGGCAGGTCTTCTTTCCGGTGTTACATAATGGAAGATGGAAGTTGTACTTGATAAGTTTAAGTTCAAAAAAAATTGTTGTCTTTGACACCAAACACGAATATCCACACCCAACTCATTCGAAAGTACTCCCGATGGTGGTAATTCACTATATCCTACCAATGATTAGTATTACTACTACATTTTGTATCTTGTCAGCTTAAAATTACTTTCATATTTGAAAAATAGTCATTGTGTAGTGTTTGTGTAACTAATTAGTGATAAAATATATTCAGCTGGAATTTGCACAAGGTGTTTTGTCCTAAATAGTAACAAGCATACCTAGTGAGTTAGAGTCGTTTGGAGTGACAAATTTCAAGAACATACCCAAGGAAAAGACAACTCATGATTCAGAGATGCTTTGCCTACTGTTTTTATACAACATCTTCAGCGATGTGAACGAGTGGATGTATGTAAGTAGTTTTCAACAATATTGTGGGATATACCTTGATCTATTTTGGGAATATTATAGGATATATTTTGTTACCATGATGTTTTATGCAATTTAACAAACTAAGTATGTATGTAGTTTTCAACCAAGCTTTGATATTTTATGCAATTTAACAAACTAAGTATGTACTTTGGTCCTAGTATTTTTATGTTTGTAATCTAAGACTTGTTAGCAAACAATTGAATGCAGTCTTACAAGGGGAATGAAGAGCTCTACAGGAAGACACTATGCACTAACATTTTGCTGGATGATGTGAACGAGCTTAGTGGGGATTTAGCAGAATCTGTGAAGGGTGCTTAAGAAGGGTTGGATATAGGTTTTTATATTTGGAGACAGGTTACCGTGTTGTTTGATTCATGTACCTCTTTGGCATGAAGTACTTATATTAGTATTAGTAAGTAATGGATAATTAATCAACTATGTACATGGTGGTTGTTTGTTATTTAAACTTATTTTACCACAACTCGTTGAACTGAAAGACTTTATCATACACATACACGCTTACATGTTTACTAAATTCGTAATGACACTCTTTTAATGACTACATACAACTTAATGTTGCATCATTTTGCAACTTGGTAATTTTGAACAAAATGGTTCATTGGTACTAGTTAGTATTTTATTTAGTAACACATTCGAGAAAGTATCTACAGTAAATTGTGTCATTAAAATGAAAATAACAAGAAGATATTACTAAAAACGCTACTTTTAATTGCAAATATAAAGTCAACTACAAGGGGTACCAATTTAAAGCGGTGCTTATATATTAACCGTTTTATAACCTCTATAAATAACATCATATTTGGTTATAACACAATATCTGATAAAAAAAACAGAAACAAAATGGATGGTGGTAACAAAGGAAATGAATCTCAATCTGAAAATTCTAAGAAAAATAAAGGAAAGAGGCCTATTGCCGAAGTGCAAACATCTGACAAGGGTGATCCCAATTTGCATAGGACACCAAAAATACGGAATGTAAGTTCTAAACCATTTGTAACGTAGTAAGATTATAATAATTTATAACGTACTAGTTGTTTATGGTTTAAATTAGGAAGGAATCATATTACATATGTGATCCAAATCTTACTTTTTTTTTTATCAATCTTAACCACGCGTTGTTGATTATTTAGGTGGAATATTGTTCTGTAAAAGGGGGAGAATATTTTGTTGGAGAATGTTCTAAAAGCAAACCATTAGTATGTTCTTGCCACACAAGAATCAAGAAGGAGAAGAAAAAGACTGCTTGGGACGGACATATTAAGCCTAAGGGGCTATATTTCCAATTGTGCGACTACCACACTATTAAGGCGAATGATAATACAAAAGTACCGGCCTTCTTAGGACTTGAATCTCTCATGCACCACGTATGGATGAAATTGCGTGAATTTGATTTTGCAAGGTGCATGTCAGTGTGTAGGGAATGGGGAAGAATAATTCCACATTGGAGGCACACTTCGGCTATTAATAATTGGTATGGCCATAACCATGGAGGTTTAGGGCCGGGGAAGGGCATTAGAATGCCATACATGTATACAGATTCAAGTGAAGATGATACAGACTCTGGTGAAGATTTCTACTCCGGAGATGAAGAGAAAAAGTAACACTATATGGATTATTCACACAATATTAATATAATTTAATACTTAGTAACACCATGTGGATTATTATTTATGTAATATATGTATGATGTATATTTAATATTAGTTTAATACTTAGTAACACTATGTGGATTATTATTTATGTAATATATGTATGATGTATATTTAATAAGGTGGTAAATATATTATATTATCTTATGAAAACCTCTTGCAAAGTAAGTTGTACTCAGTTATTGTAATATAATAACTTTGAACTCAATTCTTGTAATATAAGAACTATATTACATCTTATTAAATTTGAATATTTCTATTCAATTTGTATTTAGTTACATTTTACCCGGATTTCTTAAAAAGGATATAATATTAATCGTATACATTTTAACACTTATATGTTAAGATTGTTAATTAGTTGTTGTCTCATAAAATTAAAATTTTAAAAAATTTATAAAATAAATAAACAAATTTGTGCTTTAAAAATTACAAAAAAAAAAATAAAATAAAAGAGTCTATGTCATACATATAATAATTTTTGTGACATAATTACTACAAGACAACTCCACGTATTTTTAGACTTTAGCAATACAAAAACTTTCTTTTACATTAGAAATTTTTAGACGATAGCAATACAAAATTACAACGTTTTTTAATTTAAGTGTTTTACGATTTTCGATTAATATATTAAAGTCTAACGAAGTATAAAATTATAATAAATATATAATTTTTCCTCAAATTGTTACAAGACTAGCATTGAGCGAGATATGATTAGTTCCGTTGAAAAATTAATCAATGAATTGTGTTTCATTCTTTAATAAAAAAATGTGACTTAAAAGTCTTCATTTGTATATGTATGCGACACATCTAATGTATAATAATGAAATAAGATTATCCTCTCTTTTTGTTGGAAATATTGTTTAACTTAAGCCTAAGTAATCAACTTAGATCAAAGTTCTAAGCTCATTATGATCTCATAAATAAAGGAAATGCAGGCCTAATTGTTGTTATTTTTCTTCATTAGTTGTTGTGATGTTGTTTGTTTTTCTTTTTCTTCTTCTTCTATTGATCCGGTTTATTATTATTATTAGGATATTTTGGATTTTAACACCTTACAAAAGGCTGAAAATGTTTTTTAACACCCCCCAAAAAAAAACTTTTATTTTAACACCTCCCAAAAATATAAAAGTTGGAAGTTAACACCAGTTAACGATTTCCGTCACGGAAATTTAACGTGGGTCCCACAAATTGGCTTGAACTTCAATTTTCACCCAGCAAAACACGAAACTTCTTTCTTCATTGAATTCGCAGCAACCTTCTGCATTGAATTCTTTCTGAACCTTCATTGATTTCGCTTTTGAACCAAAGGAGATCTTGGCTGAGAAGTGGAGTGTAGGGTGGTGTCAACGTTGGAGAAGATAAGCTCAGGAGGGTTTCTTCATCATCTTCTTCAACTACAAAAGTGCGAAAGCCGCTTGAAATTCACAGAAAATAAGGTAAAATTGCTCTCCTTTGATAGCAATTTCGTCAATTACTGGTGCTTCATTGCTGTAAACCTTGCAATAATTGGGTAATTAGGGTAAATTTTGGGACCACAGTAGGAAAGCCTTGATAAATCAATTTCTGTAACTGACTATGCGACTTAGGTTAATTGGATTTCGTAATTGAAAGTAGAGATTAATTAAGGTGGTTTATTGTTAATTAAACTAGCAAGTGTGGTTTGTTGATTAATTTATGTTACTGAGCACCTACATTGGCTTGTATATGTTTATTTTCAATTTTTTTATGTGTTTGTTTGTGTGGCTGTGATGGATTTGTTTATTCGTATTGTGCATGTATAGTTACATGGCTTTTAATATGTTTTATATGTTTTTCACTGGTGGGTAGATAATGGGTGACAAGGATAGTTTGGTTGACATCTGCCTTAGAGTGGGAGGTGCTTTTGTCCCTAAAAGAGTAACCAAAAACAGGCAGCTGCTGTGTTGGTGTGGTGGTTGGTGTTACTGGAAGAGGAAGGTTCAAGTATCTAAGTTGGATGTGCATTTGATTAGAACAGCTGCAATTCATGGTTTTGTTAATGGTGATATGGATGTGCCTATGCATTACAGCTGTTGGTATAGGCAGAAGGGGAAAACCTTTAACACTGGGAAAAGGGAACTAGTTAACAGTGAAGAGGTTAAGGGCCTTTTGGAGACAGTAAATGAAGAGGGGTATGTTGAGGTTTTTGTAACAACAGAAGCTCCTAGTCAGCCCATACAAGAGGCCCAACCCAATCCTGCAAAGACAAAAAAAAGGATAAGAAGGTAGAAAGTTCAAATACATCGACTATTAGGAGGAGCCCTAGGTTTAAGAAGACAGAAACTGAACAAAGGGAGGAGAGTCCACCTAGGAAAGCCTCAGCTAATGCTAAAGTGTTGAGGTTTGATGAAGAAAAGGATGATGGATGTGAAGGATCTGGTTATTCAAGTTCAGATTTGAGTGATGAGGGACAAGATTGGGAACCTGGTGAAGAAGAATTTGATGAAGGGGATGAGGAATGGTATATTGAAGGGTCAAAGGAGATCTTGGCCAAAGTGAACAAGAGCCTTAGGAAAGGTTTGGAGAGTGCAGTAGATGACAGGGTTGGCAAAGATAAGAGAGTAGAGTTGAGAAATGATTTGGATGTTGGAAAACCGAAGGTGAATCCAGAAAGTGATGCTGATTCAGATGATTCAAGGAGTTTGTGTGGATCTGATGAGGAACAGGACTATGCTCCTTGGTTTAATGCTGATGTGGACTTTGACAACCCAATCAAGTTGAAGTTAAATCAGAAATTCAGTAATGCTTCAGTCTTGAGGAGGGCCTTAAGACTTCATGCCATTCAAAACAGGTATGAGTTCTACTACTTGCATAATGACAGTAAAAGGATTACAGTTCAGTGTAGATATAGATGTGGCTGTGAGTTCAATAGCTACACTTGTAGAATGCCTGCTTGTACATGTGTGGGGGGGGGGGTAAAGTGTCAGTTCAAGGTGTTTGCATCAAAACTTGTTAAGCAGCAAACTTGGCAAATCAAAACCTTGAATTTAGACCATTCCTGCTTCAGAGTAAAGAAGAACAAGATGCTTACTGCTGAATACATAGCAGAGAGGTATTTAGAAGAGTTTAGGAGTAACCCTGGTTGGAGAATTAAGGAGATTAGGGCTAGGATTTTGAATGATTTAGGAGTTGATGTGAGTTACTATAAGGCATGGCTAGCTAGGTGTAGGGCAAAACTACTGATATTTGGTTCAGCTAGGGAGCAGTATGCTAGGGTGTGGGATTATGGGAAAGCTGTGATGAAGTACAACCCTGGTTCAGGGTGCAATGTTGTTGTTGATGGTATTGACAGGCCAGAGCCACCATTGTTCATGAGGATGTTCATCTGTTTAAGGCCATTGAGAGATGGATTTGCAAAGGGTTGTAGGCCTTTAATAGGGTTGGATGGTTGTCACCTCAAGGGTGCCTTTCCTGGGCAAATTCTGGTGGCAGTTGCTAAGGATGGGAATAACAACTTGTTTCCTCTAGCTTGGGCCACAGTGGAGATTGAAAACCAGGAAACTTGGGGTTGGTTCTTGGAATCCCTTATGTCAATGTTCACACATGATCAAGGAGCTGGGCTGACCATCATGTCTGACAGGCAAAAGGTAATGCTTCTGTTTCCCTCTTAACTATTTAGGTTCAATTTCTAAGTTTTCATGTGTATGTATGTGATTGACTGATGATTATACTTTTGTCTGCATTTGGTAGGGTTTGATTAAAGCAATGGCTGATGTTATTCCCAAAGCTGAGCAAAGGTTTTGTGTGAGGCATATTTGGGCTAACTTCAAGCTCAACTTCACTGGATCAACCTTTAAGGAGCTGTTTTGGAGAGCAGCTAGGGCCACCACCATTGTAAGTTTATTGATTGTTGAAGCTAGCCTATGCTTTTATATGACTGTTGGTGTGTTTTTATATTGGTTAGCTTGTATATGCTTGGTGTGATTTCTGGTATGCTTTTATATGTCAGTTTGAGCATGAAATTGCCATGGAGTCTATCAAATTCCTCGATGAAGAGGCATATGAGTATTTAATCAACATTCCTCCCCACCATTGGTCTAGACATGCATTCACACCAAACTGCAAGTCCAACATGTTGTTGAACAACATGTGTGAGACTTTCAATGCAGTCATTAGGCCTGCCAGAGATAAACCTATCCTCACCCAAATGGAATGGATGAGGAGGTATATTATGAACAGGAATAATGAAAAGTGGGAGGATTCAAAAACAATTACACACAACTTAGTGCCATATGTGAGGCATGTTCTGGGGAGGATAGACTTTGTGGCTAGGTCCTGTGTGGTGCAGCCATCCAGAGGGAATACATTTGAGGTGCAGCTGAAGGATGACCAGGTGTTGGTTGATTTGGACAAGGAGACCTGCACATGTTACCATTGGGAACTCACTGGCATTCCATGTGTTCATGCTTATGCCTGCATATTGGATATGAGGGGTGACATAGAGGCTGTTGTTGACCCATACTATACCATGGACACATACAGGTCTGCTTATGAACCAGCTGTCCAACCAATGCCTGGCCCAAAGCACTGGGAGAGAGTCAGAATGAGGGAACCACTACCCCCTTCTGTTAAGGTGCAACCTGGGAGACCAAAGAGCAAAAAAAGGAAGCTTGAGCCAGGAGAATGTTCTTCTTCAGGTGGTCAGGCAAGTACCAAGAGGAAGAAGCAATGCAGCAACTGTGGGGGATATAGGCATTATGCCAAGACTTGCAAAGTACCTGCTGCACCAGCTACAGAGCTGATAAAGTCAGCAGGCAGACCCCCACTGAACACTCCTTGGATGGTGGAGGAGAGGAAGAAGAAAGAGATTAGGGCTGCTAAAAAGGTAACACAAGCATTACACCAACTCCCCCTTTGTTTTATATATGTATGTGTCTTTTCCATTGACTTTTTATTTTTATATGCATGTCATAGAGTGCAATTGGGGCTGGACCAAACAGCATAGGAAACAAAAAGTTTCCTCAAGAGCAAGAAGGTTGTCTGCCATTCAGCAAGCGCCCACAGCCACAGTCTTCCTCAGCTAAGCATTCCTCAGCTCAGCCATCCTCTAGTCAGCCATCCTCAGCTCAGCCTTCCTCAAGTCAGCCTGCCTCAAGCCAACCAAAAAGAAAGACAAGGTCTTCCTCAAGTCAGCCTACAACAGCCACAGGTGTTGTAACAAGGGCCAGGCTGCAATCCCTCAACAACCTTACTCAGTGATGTACTCATGCTGGATATCAAACATTATGTCTGTTGAACAATTTCAAACTTTTATTATGTACTCATGACTGGTTATGTAACTTGCTAGTTTTTTAGTGGCTTCCCTTAACAAATTTGAACAATTAGATATTGAATTGTAATGGTTGCATGGCTTTGATTGCCATTGAAACATGTTGAAGTAAGGTTCTTTTGTCAACCTGTACTTGAACTATCTTAGTGTTTCACATATTTCCCATGTTTTAATGTTTCACATGTTTAAATAGGTTGATTAAAAGACAAGGCATAAATAGGAACTTAGACAAGGCATAAATAGGTTGATTAAAAGACATATTTATAACACTTCAAGTCATTACAAGAAATTATAACTACTTAATACAGCTTACTATTACACACCCCTAGCCATTAGGAAAATTACACCCATTGACAAACCTATACAAATGGCCATGCCCACCCAACCAAAACAGCTGATTGAAGACACCTTCCCTTCATTGCACTCCCTGTTCATTCTCTTCCTGTCAGCGTTCAAGGCCTTGCATCTCATCTTCAAATTATCAACTTCATTAAGTAGGCACCTCCTTTGGCCACTGATTTCATCAACTTCCCTTTTCAATTCATTAACTTCACCCTTTAGCAGCTTCTTATCCAACAACAGGTTGTTGATAACCCCTGTTTGCCAATCTGTTCCATCAGGTTGATCAACCCATTCGAAAGCTTTGCAACCCCTTGTTTCTGTTATTGGGTCATAAAACTTACATGATATGAACTTCCTGCCTGGATTCTCCCTTGTCCAGCTAGTGAGCTTGGCCATTGGCACACCACACTTACATTTTCTGGCCTCAGGAGGGGAAGAGCTAACAAACGACATAATCTGCATCAATTTTAGATCGACAGTCACATTTACAGATTTGTACACTGACGAATTAACATTGACAGCAACAAAATTCATTTTTAATTTCATAATACGAAAAGCCCCAAATTCAATTTCTGACGAACCCTAATTTCGCAATTGGGCATTTAGATGCGTACATAACATAATCCAACCATTAATCTGAGTACGAAACAATTGCAAATAATAATTGAAGAGAATTTAAACCATAATTACCAAACAACCGAACAATTGACCGCACTCACCTGTTTCAGCAGCTTCAATCTGTTCCTCTTCTCAAAAATCGTGGAAGAATCGTGAAAGAATTGTTTCAAGTATCGTGCAACAATGCAATGCGCTGCTGCTATTCAATAAGAACAACGATTTCGTTCATTGGGGGAGAATCGTGCAAGAATGGTTCTTATATATCGTGCAAGAATCGTGGAAGAATGGTTCTTATATACAGATCTTTTAAAAATATATCCGTTGGGGTGGGCCCCACTAACAGTTCTGTTAACGGAAGATGGATTTTGGTGTTAACTTCCAACTTTTATATTTTTGGGAGGTGTTAAAATAAAAGTTTTTTTTTTGGGGGGTGTTAAAAAACATTTTCAGCCTTTTGTAAGGTGTTAAAATCCAAAATATCCTTATTATTATTATTATTATTATTATTATTATTATTAATCCCACCCCCCCCCCCCCTTACTCACCCCTTTTTTGTTTAATATGTTAGTATATTAATTAGTAACCATGTACTTGCAAGAGAAAAACTTTAATTTAATAACTTTTGTAATTAGTAACAGGAATTTCTAATTCATGAAATTAGTTATAAACAAAATGGAAAATCTTAGCAATATTAAGTTTTTAGCAATTGAAATAATCATTTAGTCTAAGTAAGATCTCAAAGTGTCATACACAAGCAAAATAACAACGAATATAATATAACTCTTGTCGATGGATCACCTTCTAACAATTAAAAAGTGAAATATATATTTGTCAATTTCTTCATGAGTTTACTATTATTATTATTATTATTATTATTATTATTATATCTCAAAAACAAAAGTCATACAACCTATAATAAATTTTATTATTATTATTATTATTATTATTATTATTATTATTATTTGTTATTGTAATTATTATTATTATTATTTGTACCCCAAACCCCATCTTTTTTCATTTTTTAGTACATTAATTAATAACAACATATGTTTTTAGAAAAAATGTAGATTATATAACATTAATAATTAGTAACAATGATGCTGATTCATGAAATTATTTATAAACAAAATGGATAATTTAGCTATTAAAAGTCTTAAGGAACTGACTGGATCGAACTTGAGAAATACATATAGTTAGTCAATGCCAATTCAAAAGTTAAAAAGTATCCAAATTCAAAATAGTTAGCCAATGAATGTAGTACAAGGTACAATGAATTATTTCAAAATTCAATTAAATTAAATAATATTAAATTAACAGAATACTAAGAGACTAACTTCATCCAATAAATTACATTAACAAGGTAACTATACCAATATTTAAAGAATAGCAAAGGTTGTAAAGCCTTGGTATAAAAGTGAATAGTGAAGTGTATACAATATGTTACGTTTCACCTATGTTATTTTCTTTGGTTTTATAGGTTAACACAACCCCATGGAGCCCAATCAACAAGCCCACACTCCAGATCACGATGCTTTTTCAGAATGGGATGTTATATTTGAAGAAGAGATCTATCCTAGAATCAATGGAATCTTTGAACTTCTGAAGATTCAAGCCCTCAATAAGCATTGGGAGGAAAAGGTAGGGTCTAGAATCAATAGGAATGAAGACATTGACTGGAGCGAACTTGAAAAATTCTGCTGCACCCTCTCTTGCAATGTCAGGTAAGTCACTCAAACATTGGGGCAGTACGTGACTGCATCGACTGTTGGTTTACAGCAAACTGGAGGGCCAAAGTTTTCAATCGAGCGGTAGATTTCTTTGTCAACTCCAATGGTGGCACTATAAATTACAGTCGTTATATATCATGGGCAAGAAGAATGCTTTATTTCGGAGGAATGATATAAACTACCAATCTTGTTATTTGGTGGGAGGAACCTTAGCTAATGGGTAGATGATGATTGTTATGTTGAATTTTTCGTTTACTTTTATCTATGTGGTGTATTCGAATTGTTGAATTAAAAATGAATAATAATATTCTTGTTGAAATGATCTGAATGAATTTTGTTCAATTATGTTATTTATGATGAAATGATCTGAATGAATTTTTTTCAATTATGTTATTTATGTTGAAATGATCTGAATGAATTATGTTACTTTACGTTACGCGAGGTTTGGCTTTTAAATAAATCAATAGACGATTGTTATTTGTTTGGTACCATGTATTGTATCACTGGTATCCTAAAATAATTAATTAGTAGTTGAACATTGTGTTAATGAAGATAGAGTTTGAAAAAAGTCCTGTATATATTGTATTTTTACGTTAGTCGTTATTTGGAAATTATTCATGATATATAATTTCATCCTAAATAAAGTGATGTCCTTATTTAACCGAAATGTATGTGTTTGATAATCGGTTTATATAAACACAAGTTTAAAACAAAAATTAAATTAAAAAACGTCAAAACAATAAAACAAAAATACCAGGATTAGATTCAAATTGAATATCTATTAAAATAAAGTAGTAACAATTGACATTGCATAATGGAATAGTTCATGTTGATAACAAACTCATTACAACGACTAAACCAGCCTCTTAAATTGTTTAGAGTCATCACAAAAAACGGGTAAGGAAACAAATAAAGAAACTAAACTTGATGCAGAAAATGAAAGCACACTTATAATATTAACTTAACACATAAAGAAAATGACACTTTAAAATGCAATAATCCTTGATTTCGAATTCCTCCTCAATTGGTATTCGAGAAGAAGCTCCCGATAAAAACTAAGTTGACCCTTTGTTTTTGCTTTCAAGCCCCCATAAGTGATGGTGTAGTACTTAATCCCTTCATTGAAAGAGAAATTATTCCCCATTGTCGACCAAGAACAAGCCCAGCAGTCGTTAACCTCCTTCCGGGTATTGTACGTATCTACACAAGCCGGCTGGGTTTTGTCTAATATCTTCTTAAGGTCGGTCCAATCAACGTCCTTGTTGGAATTGATTCTCATACCTGCCTTGTGCATCCAATATTTGTTCAATTGTTGAAGTTTCATGATCTCAAAACTTCCAGTAATTTTTGGGTAGATCTCGCTTTCGAATATCTCTTCCCACTTACCATAAGCTTCATGGTCTAGGTAGTATTCATCTTCCTCAACCTTGTCTTCCACGTTCGACATTGTTTCTTAATTTAATTAGCTGTAAAAATAAGTGAGTATTAGTGAGGTGAATGGAAGTTGTTCTTCATCTCATATTTTATTTATGTTTGCTTGGTACATGAAAAGACCTATACATTGTTGGAATTCGTAAAGATATCTTGGGACTACTATAAAATACACTTTTAATAAATAGATATCTCGGTGTTGGTGGTTTTTTTAAAAAAAACAATCACGGTATCATTTTTTCTCTTTGGTAATCTATTATTATTTTATTTTTTATAATGAAAAATTGAATATTCAACATTAATGGTTTCTAGCCTTATTAACATAATTGTCAAAAACTAAAGAACAATTTTGTTTTACTAAATTATATTTTTCAGTTACTAATTTAATATGTATTTCGTCAGCTTTTTACGTATTACTATACCATGTACATCATGGGAATTTTCATCCCATGATTTAGTTACTAATTTAATATATATTATTTGTATCCCCGTTTTTTAATCCCATGGATACATAATTGTAAGATGTACATAAATTATTATAATTTGTAATAGTAGTATGATGACCCCTTATTATTATTTTTGTTATTATTGATGGGAAATGACTGTTGTTTAGCGTTGTCCTTAATTCCATATGGTTCAGCTATTTGTTTATA